ACTTGGACATGCAGCGGGAGGAGTCGGGGGTTTACAGTGGTTTGTTTATGTGGTAATAAACTGATTTTGGACTGTTGGTCAGACAAAACTACAATTCTAAAGACGAACTGAAAATAAGCAGCAGAAGAATCGGTAATGGAAATAATAGTAAGTTGCAGCCGTACATGTGACACTGATGGACAGTCAGGTTCAGCTGCTGATGTGTTGATGAAGTGTTGAAGTGAAGTATGTTCAGTCTGAACTGAAGCCCTATTGTGTGTGCTGAAATCCTTTGAACATATATTGTACTAACGTGACATTAGTGGTATTTGCCTCTAAGGCAGAGAGGTGAGGGCTCATAGGAAGTTTAAATGGTTGGGAATCCTCGTGGAACCAGTTGCATTCCCACTGTCTGACCGGTTTCTGAGAACCCCCCCATATATCCAGAGACATTCGACTACCTCAGTATTGCAGAGAGTCAGCTTGTTTTGTAGTTTAGTGCTAGAGGAAAAGTTTACAGTCTACAAATATATAAACCCAGTACGTAGAGGGTAGAATCTGATTTGTTAAACGCCTGAGGAAGGTATCACAGGTTCACTCTCTTTGATTTACCCGTGTTTTAAATTTGGTTAAACACAGCATGGTTTCTGCTCAGTGTAAATCCCAAGTTCATAGCCAAACTCGATGGAATATTGTCTCATTTCTGATCTCTGTATGAAAGTGTGTGACTTGGCTTCCAGGCACTGTGTCCTGTGTGGCTCTGATGCGTTCAGGTGGTGGATACAGGTGTGTTAGTGTAGCTGTTTATATGGCAACCTGCCAGACGAGACAAGTCTGACACATGTAACTTAAATGTTAATTGTTAACCGGATTGACTGTTTTTTGACTTCCTTCATCACTAAGTGCAGGTTATGATACTACTCGCTGCAGTTCCTTTGTCCTAGCTAAGCTGTCTTGAGCTTTACGGATTGATCACACAAGCGTTTATTTATATTGCTATTATTTCTATTTCTACATATTTTCTGTTAAAAACGATTGGGTTTTATGTATAATGTCTCAGTTTTTCCCAGCATACTC